TGGCAGCACCGTGATGGGGAAGGAAGAGACCTCGGAGAAAATTGTGGTCTCTGGATCTGAGACACAGGAGTCAGGTTCTGCTTTGAGCAGCTAGGTGAATGAGGGTACCTTTAAGGGGTGAAGGAAATCAAGTGGAGGTTTAATATTAAGGAGAAATCAGGAACTTAATTTTAAATGCATTTCGTTTGATGGACCCTAGAGACATTGTAAAGATTTCTCAAAGGTTGGGACATGAGTCTAACTTTAGAATTTAGTTGAGAGTATACCCCATCAATTTCAGGAGAAACCCAGAACTGTAGATTGGGAGAGGCTGACCTCCAGCTCTGCTCCTTGACAGCCCATACCCGGTATTTCTTCCATCTGAGAGTTGGCTGAGTGGTTAGCTGATCTCCACAGTCACTGTAGTCAGAGGGACTGGGATATCTAGGACGACACTGTGACTTAATGTGATAGACAGGGTGGTGGAGTTGATTCCCAGCTGGGGTGATTCCTCTCTTTTCTCCAGTGACTGGGTGTCTTCACATAGTTCCTGAGTTTATTAGGGCAGTACCAGAAGGCTGGTGGTGGAGTTGAATCCCAGCTGGGGTGATTCCTCTCTTTTCTCCAGTAACTGGGTGTCTTCACATAGTTCCTGAGTTTATTAGGGCAGTACCAGAAGGCTGCCTCAGGCTGCAAATGTCCTAAGGGACGTCCAGTTCTGTTGGGCTGAAGCAAGTTAAATGGTGTCTTGGTGGTTTTCTGTTGCTGTGATAAAACCAGCCTGGGGAGGAAAGGGCTTATTTGGCTTATAACACAGCCCATCATTCAAGGGAGGCCAAGGCAAGAGCTCAGAGCAGGCCATGGAGCAATGTTCCCTGGCCTGAGTTCAGGCTGCTTGCCCACCTGCCCCAGGGGTGGTACCACCCACAGTGGGCTGGGGCCTCCCACATCACTCAACCATCAAGAAGATTCCCCACAGACCTGGCCACAGGCCAAACCAATGGAGTCAATTCCCCAGTTGAGGCCCCTCTTCCCAGGTGTGTCAAGTTGACAGCTGAAGCTGTCCAGCACACATGGCCATGCCCAGACTCAGTGTAGATGGAACTAGGGAGACCATTTTAATACTGTGCCACAGTTGAGTGCTTGACAAAGAATAGGCTCAAGGGCAGAGATTGAAGCTCTAACATTTTATAGTCCAGGCTGGGAATAGTGAGAGTAGAAGACGGAGAGTACACAGGTTTGGAGCTGAGTTTAGGGAAGAGTGCCCAGGACGCTGGGCTCCACCCATCACTAGTACAAAGTACTGAGTCAAGCGAGTAAAACATCAATAGAAGAGGTGTAAACGGCAAATGCTGAAGGAGAGTGAAAGCGTGGGTCAGTGAGGTTCCATGAAGGTTAAGTTTATCAGAGGAGACTGGGGCGTAGCTCAGTGGTAGAGTGCTTACCAGCGCACACAAGGCCCTGGGTTCAAACCCAAGCACCACAAACGGGGAGAGTGTCTGTTCCACAGGAGATCACTGATAAGTAATCAAAGAAACCTTGGCGTTTAGGGAAAACTGATTAATTGTGGCTAGTAGAGACAGCAAGTGAAGGTTTTCTTCCAAGATTTAACTTCAGAGAGGAGAACGTTCTTTTTTAGTTTTGTTTATTCACTCTGTGTGTGTCTGTGTATGCACAAGAGTACATGGAGGTCAGGACAACCAGTGAGAGTCAGTTCTGTTTCCACCGTGAGGGCCCCCAGGATCAAATTCAGGTGACCAGGCTTGGCAGCGGGTGCCCCTGTCCACTGAGCCGTCTCTGTTTTTAAGTGTCTTATTACATTGTTTTTGTTTTAAAGATGACACGGACTCTGTAAATGCAGAGATACTGTTTCTGTATCTGGTGTATGTGGGGAAAGTACATATATTGCCACTTTTATTCAGATTTAGGGATATTCTTCAAATAATGTAAATAATTCACATCTACTTACTCTGTAACATCTTTACTGAATGATAATTTATTTTATTCGCAGGATCGGAAGATAGAAGATCTCCGACAGTGCCTGAACAGGTACAAGAAAATGCAAGACACTGTGGTTCTGGCCCAAGGTAAGCAGAGCTGAGTGAGCTCTGAAGACTTCCCACCACATGTGATTCTAACTGGCCATGAACGCAACATCGGGCCTCAGTTTCTCACGTAGATCACATCCACTGTTTCCAAGTGGGTGACTCTTTCATTCATTTCTTGACAGCAGTGTTAGGCAGCTGTTCTCTGTCATAGATTGGTTGGTCAGGGACGGCATCGCTAAGAAGTTGAATCCTAGGTATTTCTATAGCAAGAACTACATGCAAAGAACTTGGGAGGAAAGTGAACCTCGAGTTTTTAAAAAGAGAAAGAAGGTTTGAGCAGTGGGGAGGGTCAGGTGTGAGCCACAGCTGTCAGGCAAGGTGGGGCAGAGGGACCCAGGGAGGGTTTGTTTGGTACTAAGGCTTGAACCTAGGGCCTTGCACATGGTAGGCAAATGCTTTACCACTGAGCTACATCCCGAGCCCCAGTGTAGGGACTTGACAAATTCACAACATGACCTTTGTCAGAAAGGGATCATGAGGGGTTCTAGTACTGAGTCTTGGAGTATTCTGATGGAAAAGACCAGTGGATCTGAATATGGGGGGTTGTAATAATGCCAAGGTAGACAAGGGAGGGGAGTGAAGAGGAAAATAAACCCACAGAGGTAGACGATTTTGACCAGGTAGGTAGTGATGGTTCCGTCTACCAAGATGGAGAGAGAAGGTTGCTAAGGGTTGTGAGCTCATCTCCATGTGTGAATGTCAAAAATCCTGTGAGGCGTTTGGGAAGGAAGTTGTGTATTTTGTTGTAGTTTACCTGCAGACGGGCCAGTTCTCAAATGTGGAAAACTTTGAGGCTCATTCAAAACAAAAGAAACATTGGGAACTCAAAAGTGCTCTCATTGCAGTCTGTGCGCAGGTAGTTGTCCTTGAGCTGAGCCCAGAAACGTACCTTTGAAAAGTCATGAAATACAGAGTTTGAAGTTTGCTTCTTAATTTACTTATTAACGCTGGGGGTCCGCCTCCTGCACGTTAGGCCAGTGCTCTGCGGCTGAGCTATTCCCTCAGCAATTTTAATTCTGATGAATTCACAAAAGAAAAAAAATCCTGATTTGGACCAGGAAGTTTGAAACAAACAGAAAGGTGGATCTCATCTTTTTATACATAAGGATTGATAAATGAAGGCTTCAATATCTGAATAAGTACATGACTTTATTTTAATAAATACATGACTGACATCTGTGCCTGTGTGTGCACATTCCTTGGGGGACATGTGGAGATCAGAGGATAACTTGTAGGAGTCAGTTCTCCTTTCACCATGTGGATTCCAGGTCATCAGCTTGGCAGCAAGTGGCTTTATGCACTGAGCTGTATCGCTGAGCCCTGCCCCTTAGGTCTTTGAGGCACCTGGAGCTCCTCAGCGAGCTGGTCTGGATTAGCACCAGCTCCAGGGATTGCCTTTTTGCACCTCTGGTGTGAGAGTTACGACCGTACATGGTGTTTTTTTATTTATGTGTATGTGTGTGTATGCCATATGTGTTCAAGTACCCACAGAGACCAGAAGAGGGTGTCAGATCCCCTGGAACTGGACTTACAGGTGGTTGTTAGCGGCTCAGCACAGATGCTGGGAACCAAACTCATTTTCTTCTGCACCAGAAGTGCGCACTCCTAACTGCAGAGCTGTGTCTCCAGCCCATACCTGGCTTTTACATGGGTCCTGGGGAAGCCGGACTCAGGTCTTTGTGTAGGGCAGGCACTGCACTGGCCGCATCGGCTCGCCAGTCCTCATGTAGTAGTTTCAAAAGAGATGTAGCAGCACAGGTTTTCATGCCCAAACTCATTTTCTTCTGCACCAGAAGTGTGCACTCCTAACTGCAGAGCTGTGTCTCCAGTCCATACCTGGCTTTTACATGGGTCCTGGGGAAGCCGGACTCAGGTCTTTGTGTAGGGCAGGCACTGCACTGGCCGCATCAGCTCGCCAGTCCTCATGTAGTAGTTTCAAAAGAGATGTAGCAGCACAGGTTTTCATGGGTCATAAAAAATTAAGCCCTGCTCCAGTGAAGAGATCTTTGTTTATTTAGCTACTCTTCACACAACTCTAACAACACCTAAAATCTACTAAAGTTCTAGTAAAACCTCAACTAAAAAGTTATGGTTGGGGCTGGACAGACAGTTCAGTGGTTAGAGCACTCTGCTCTTGCAGAGGACTGGAGTTTGGTTCCCAGCACCCATGTTTACATGTTACATACTTAAAACCACATGTAACTCCAGCTCTAGAGGATCCAATGCCCTCCTTCTGGTCTCTGAGGGCACACACACACACACACATGCTCATATACATGGATACACACATGTACACAGCCTGGTTAAGACCTTTCAAAAAGCATAGGGTTTGCCATTTAGTATTATTTACAGGTTAAAGTCTTTAAAAATCTTTCTATTTTTAAAAGCTATTTTATTATTTTACATGTATACGTGTATTGCCTGTATGTAGGTAAGTGCACCCGTGTCATCGTGCAATGCCGAGGAGGTCAGAAGAGGGCGTCGGATCCCCTGGACCTGGAGTTATGGACAGTTTTTAGCTGTCATGTGGGCGCTGGGATTTGAACCCAGGTCTTCTGAAAGAACAGCCACTGTTCTTAACCACTGAGCCATCTCTCCAGCCCCAAAATCTTTCTATTTTTAAGAAAATGACTCTGGCGTTGTGTTCTGCAGTTAATCCTTCTCGTCTTGTCTTCTGTAAAGCAGCTCTCCGAGCTAGTGCTTTGATGGCTTTGTGGCCCCTTCTCTGTTAGGCCTCCTCTGCTGTAACGTGGCATAAAAGGTCCTTTTGAAGGGTCAGATACCATCTTTTTTTTCTTGTTTTGTTTTTCCTTCTGTGTACTTTCCAGAGCACAGCAGGGTTGAAAAGTGAGCTGTGGAAGTGGTGAATCTCTTGCAACCCAGAATTAGATTGTCGTGCTGGGTGCTCCTCACTTTGGATCTGTATTACAATGTTTCCTAGGGTCTGGGTTGTTGTTTTAAAGTGATGCCAGGAAAACATGACTTTTATTTTTGAGGATCAGAAAAATGTTTGTGTTTGGGGCCGGGGGTGTAGCTCTGTGGTATAGTGTATGTTTAAAATGCAGGAGGAAGAAAAAGAAAAAAGCATTTCTGTGTGTTCAGTATAATTATGATTCTTCTCCCAGAAATGAGACAGATGGGAAGCTTTTGGCCTTCTTTTCCAGGCACGGAAGACACGTATGAAAACCTGCCGCGCTCCAGCTCCATGTCCACCTTCCTGGACGCACAGGGCTTTAGTGACTTGGAGAGAAGTCCGACTTCTACTCCAGGAATGGGGTCTCCCAGCCGTGACCCATTCAACTCGAGTGCTCCAGAAGAGGTATTTACAGAATTTTGGTACTTTCTTCAAGTTGAAGAGACCCTGCCATCAGAGGCTCACGCACTGCTGGTGTGTGTGAACACGGTTCTCTTCCCAGATCTGTTACCCAGGTGGTTAGTTGGCTGTGGCGATTTTACTGCCCTGCTGGTCTCTTTTCTTTTTAAATGTGAGCTTTTCTCTTCTTTTTAATAAATGCTTTGGACAAAGTCCAAATTGCTTCTAAAACTCAGGAAAAGCCAGGCGTGGTGGCGTACACCTTTAATCCCAGGCTTGGGAGGCAGAGGCAGGCAGATCTCTTGAGTTCATTGGTCTAAATAGAGTTCCAGGCCATCCAAGGCTATATAGTGAGTCCTAAAGAAAAAAGAAAACAAGGCAGGTGTCTTGGCATGTGCCCGTCGCTCCAGCTGTGCAAGAGGCTGAGCACAGGACCCCTTAAGCAGGAGTTGGAGGGAGCCTGACAAGACCCCAGGAAAAGTACAAATTTCTTTTAAAGTAGAGACCCTCTAAAATATGAGATTGTATCTACTTATTAAAGAGATTATGTGCTCATTTAGTTTCGTTAATTCTGATGCCTCTGAAAGATGACTGAGTGAGAACCCCTGGTTTATTTAGACGTGGGAAAAGCAGCTGGAGTGCGGCAGTGTCTTTCGTTCCCTTACAAACGTCAGGGCGGCCAGGACGTGTGTTCGCTGTCTCCCGTATGTAGAGCCGACTGTGGTTGATGGGCAGTGTACTGCCGTGGGGTCTGCAGGGTGGGCCGGGAGCAGCAGGACAGGTTCTTACACCAGTGTCTGGTCGTTGGGGCTGCCTGTTGGCTGAGCCTCAGCTGTAGCCTGGCTAGAACTCCATGTGGCCACTTGGCTGCCTCACAGACCAGTGGTGAGCATCCTGAGGAGACCAGGCAGATTTGCATCATCCTTTTATGCCTCATTGCAGAGTCATTAGCTTCTCTTCTGCAGTTGTACGTCACCCAGGTTCAAGGAGACTGAGCATAGGCTCTACCTCTTGATGTCCACGTGACGTCACGTTGTAAGAACATAGCATGAGAGATTGATGGTGCAACCATTTTTTGGAAAACGATCACCTTTTCACCTCCTGGCTAAACCAGTTGAAATCTTCTCACATGTAAAATGCAGCCTCCCCCTCTCCAAAGACCCCCAGATGTAATTCCAGTGAGCTGGTCATCCGTTCCTGTGATACGTGAGGGAGGCTCTTCACGTCCAGGTTTTGGGCACAGCTCCTTGAGCATTATTGGAAACAACTAAAAGAGCTGGGAACCTAAAAATGACAAGCTGTCTGTCCCCACACACTCAGCATGCAGTGATGGGGCAAGGGCAGAGTAACTGCTGCAGACACACCCACTTAATGAGCGTGGTGGTGCACGCCTTTAATCCCAGCACTTGGGAAGCAGAGACAGGTGGATCTCTGTGAGTTCAAGGCCAGCCTGGTCTCCATAGTGAGTTCCGGGACAGCTGGGGCTACAGGGAGACCCTGAGTTAAAAAGACAAAAAGAAAGAAAAAGGAGGAAGCAGTGAAGGCCCCCGGGTGTCTGGTCCTGAATAGTCCCAAAGCCAGCCCGACGTACAGTCCTGAAAGCCAGGCTTCTGGTCTCTTTGTTCGTTCATGTCACCTTTCCCTTTGTGAAGACATATTAAGGTGATGCTTAGATAAGAATGGCCTGACTCTGCATCCACTTTTAAGACAAGAGCAGAGAGCAGACCCGAACTGCTCAGAACCTGTTCCTTCAGAATCCTCACAGAACTCTGCTCTTCAACAAGGGCTTGCTCTTTCTTGTATCAAAGCAGTGTCTCTAGCATGAAATGGGGAAGTGAACGCTGGGCCCTCATCAGGGATTGCCTTTTCTGATCCCTAGACTAGCCCTGCATGCACACAACCACAAATGGATGTTAGCGGTTTAGTCCCATCTATTTTACAACACAAATGGGATCATCATCATATCCCTCAATAGACCTGGCACCCGCAGTGCTTGCAGGCATTGTTTTTGAGTCAAGGGCAAGATAGGGTCACGGAGAGTTAACACTGTATGCTCTAGGTTTCAGGAGGCGCTCAAGGCCTGGTGGGCTTGTTTACATTATAAATAAGCTAAGACAAGATTAACTTTTTGATTGTAAAAGTCATTCCTTCATTCCCTCCCAGTGTCTCCAAATGAATGGATTTCTTGGCTTTGTGACTTGCTATTGAGTTCTAAAATCACCTTTAATTTTCTATGGTGTCTGTCCTGAGTCTGATTGGGTATAATGCTTCTAACAACCGCATTAGGTCGGAGCTTGTCAACACATTTCCTTCCCAGCTCCTCCAGAGGCTGGTGGGGAACAGCCTCTTATTTGTGTGGTTCGATCTTAAAAGGTTTAGGAGACGGTACCTGTTGTAGCCTTCCATGGCCTCACCTGAGCCTGGGTTCCCCCAACTGCACCTGCACTTGATCTTTACCTGAAGCCGTGTCTTACTTTTAGTGTAACTGCTGTCTGGAGCATCCAGGGATTGGGAATAACTTTAGTCAACTCAGCAGTCTTGGCTCCCATATTTGTTTTAAACAGTTCCTTCCTCTCCTGCCTCTCTGTTGCTTTCTGTAGGTAATGAGAGGAGACCAAAAGGTGTCTTTACCTTCTTTCTATCTGCTGGTGATAATTCCATAATGAGGAAGTAAAGTTTGGTGATTCTCTCTTCCCACTATTTTTCCCTTTGGAGGGCTGAGGACTGAGCCCAGGGCTGAGGACTGAGCCCAGGGCTGAGGACTGAGCCCAGGGTCTCATGCACACCGGGCAAGTGCTCTACTTAATCCAGCCCTGAGAAAGCAAAAAATGGATTGAATGAAAATAATTCAAGGAGAAAACAGCTAACGTGTCCCTTTAAGTGCTAGACTAAAATATTTCACTAGTCAGGGAATTAGTTATGAATAATAGAGGGAAAATTCCCTGCTTTTTAAATGTCTGCTTATATTTGAAAGGAAAAATCACTTTTTTGTTCTGAGACAGGGTCTCACTTTGCAGCCCAGCCTGCAAGGGAACTCGTAATCCTCCTGCCTCAGTGTTTTAGAAACATAACTTTTGACAGCCAGTGAGCACGCCACATGTAGAGAGGGGTTGCTGGCATGTGAGAGCTAGAGTCTTTGCTACATGAACTATTTTTATTATATACGTATGTATGTTTTCCTGTGTGTATGTATGTGTATCGTGTATGTCCCTGGTGCCCGAGAAGGCCAGAAGAGGGTGTCTGATTCCCTGGAACTGTACTTATGGAAGGCTGTCCCCCGTGGGTGCTGGGAACCAAACCTTGGTCCTCTGCAAGAGCAGCCAGTGCTCTTAACTGCTGAGCATCTCTCCAGCCCCCATGAATTCCAGTTTAATGATATGTTTTTAGTTTGTCATAAGTGATTGCACCAAACTGAACAACAATGATTGGAGGAGAACTAGAAGAGCACAGCCTCGTTTTGAAAGAAGGACCAGGAGGAAAATTGAAGCTGGAACTCAAACTTCAAAGTCTGAATTAGAAATCAGGAAAAGAGGCCAGTGTGTTAGTGTATTTTCCCCGGGGTTAGAAGTCCAAGGAAATACTTGGACCTCAGGGGTCATGAATGAGAGCTAAAGAACTTGCCCAAGCTTGATTGTAGAGATTTGCCCATGATCACAGTGCACTTGACGTTTGTAACCTCTCGGTGCCATCAGCTCAGTGACACACTCTCCACAAAGCTGCACCTGTTGGTTCCTTCTGCAGCTGAGGTCTGCTGCCTGCACTCTCTTCTCAAGTTAATCATAACCTTTATTGGGTTTAGATGCTCGGACCTCAGAGGCAGGTATGTCTTCTTGGCAGCCATCATGTGCGGCTAGGGTGGGACTGTTTGCTTAGTAGTTGGCACAGAAACGTTTTCGCTGATGTCTTCTCCTGGTTCACTCAGAAGTAAGGAGCCAGGCTGAGGCAGTGGTGTACACTGAAATCTCAGCACTTGGGAAGCTGAGTTCAAAAGTAGCCTGAGCTACATTGGAAAGACCCTGTCTCAGAAAGAGAGACAGAAAGGAAGGAAGGAGGGAGCACCCAGCACTGTAAAAACAGAAGGGGCTGGAGAGACGCTCGGGGTTAAGAGCACTGGCTGTTCTTCAGAGGACCCGGGTTTGAGTCCCACCCCCTACATGGTGGCTAACAGCCATCCATAATTTCAATTCCCGGGGATCCAGTGTCCTCTTCTGACTTCTGTGGGCATTACATGACACAGGTGCCCTTACATACATGCAGGCAATACACATAAAATAATAAATAAATAGTAAAAATTTTTTTATAAAAGAAACAAAAGAAGGGGCTGGAGAGATGGCTCAGTGGTTAAGAACACTGGCTGTTCTTACAGAAGACCCAGGTTTGAATCCCAGCACCCACATGGCAGCTAACAACTGTCTGTAACTCCAGTCCCAGGGGATCCGACAGCTTCTTCTGACCTTCACAGGCATTGCACAACACGGGTGCGCTTACCTACATGCAGGCAATGCATGCATATAAATAATAATAATAATAATAATAATAATAATAATAAAGAAACGAAGAAAGGAGCTCATTGGCCGACTTAGCACATTTTGGTCACTTTTTAACCAGAGTAATTCTTAAAATGTTTCATGTGTGAGTTTTTGATGGCAGTTTACAGTCCACCTTCCAGCGCTCATAAATTCTTTAAAACTCCAATATTAACAAATCTCAAAGACCTCCAGCCTTAGGACACAGACGTCTTTGAGAAGATGGATTACACATTTTTTTTTCTTGCCATAAAATTGTTACTATTACACAAAGTGTTTCAAGTGGTAACAACAAAGTGTATTCTAATTGACTTTACATTTTCATCAGTCATGTTAATTGAACTTAATAGTCAACGTGATTGATGTCATGTATCAGACTTGAGGTAGAAATTAAAGTGGAAATAGTTCTTTATGTTTATACAGTATGTGTTTATATTGAAAAGATGAGTAGATGAGTCAAAATCCTGTGGCTTTAACACGGGCAGATTAGTACTTATTTTATGTAGATGTGTGTATTCTGAAATGGTTTTATAGAGTTCTGAACATAGATGTGTAACATTTTGATACATCAACTAATTGTCTTATGTGTGGTTGTCTTATGTGTGGTATTTTGATTGATTGGTTTTTCCCTTTTACAATCACGTCACAGTTTCACACCAGCGTCCTGCAGGCCTCCACCCCTTCCCTGCTGCTCGCACCTGTAGCTGTGGACAGTTCTGAAAAGTCAAAGTTGCCTACCAAGCCCGACACCTCATTCGAAGAGAAGTATGTCACTTATGGACTCACGTTGCAATATAAATACTCAGAGAAGTAGATCAACCCAAAATAAGGATTTGTCACACTTATTTACAGACATAGTTTTTACCCAGAGAAAAGAAATAGGACATGTGCTGGGGACCTGTCATCGGTTTCCTGTTACTGGGATAAAAAGTGTGAAGCGGGAAGTGACGGAGAGGAGAGTGGGAAATAAGGGAATAAAGTTCAAGGTGGAGTAGGGGAGAGAACTGAGATTTTTACTTCCTGGGTCGTAGGTGACCATCCAAAGGTGCTGAGCAGCATGGTCATCCTCATGTGCCATGAGCTGTTTGGATATTGATTATGAAGGATACGCAGGAGGGAGGGATGCAGTCATTTCTCTGCAGGCAAATAGATATTTTACCAGCAAGTTCTCAAATTAATTGTCTAAACTTAGATTTAGCCAAAGAAAATGTTTAAAGCTTAGAAAGAGCTTGCTTTGCACCTTTTTAAGACCATTCTGTTCACTTGGAATATGTACAGTAATCCCCAGCCAGCTGTGATGGTTCAAGTTAGTGATTTTTAAAAACATCTTATTTAAACAGGTGGGTCTCTGAGTTTAAGGCCAGCCTGGTCTACATAGTGAATTCTAGGATAGCTGGGGTTACAGGAAGACCCTTGTCTCAAAAAAAAAAAAAGTCAAAAAAAGATTTTATTTATTTATGTGTATGACTATTGCCTGCATATGTGTAAGTGTACCCATGTCATGCAGTGCCCTCAGAGGTCAGAAGAAGGTGTTGGATCCCTTGGAAATGGAGTTACAGACAATTGTTAGTCACCATGTGGGTGCTGGGAATCAAACCTGAGTCTTCTGCAAGAGCAGCTGGTGCTCTTAACTGCTGAGCACCATTAGTGATTTTTTGACTTTACAGAACTTTTTCACTTTGAGTAGTTCTGATAAATTAGAAGATGAGACAACCCTCCGCTGTCAGGTAGGCTGGCATTAGAAGACTTTGCCCAACTATGGGCTGATGGCACCTTAAGTACAAACAAGGAAGGACGGGCTGAACTGAGGTTTTGGGCAAATTAAGTATTTTAAAGGCACTTTTGGCTGAACAGTGTTTTGAACCTCTTGCAGGCTCATTGGAACACACTACCATCGTAAGGCCAGGAACATAACATCTGTGTGGTTTTCTATCTACGACATTAATAAATGCCTTTTTTTTTTTACATTTTAGTGATGGAAAAGCAATACTGGGTGCTGCTGAAGCCCCCTTGTGTGATAGTCTTTCGTAAGTTGTATGTTATTGTTAAATGTGATATTGAGGCTTGAAAAACTGGGTCTGCTCTGCTAGTATGACCATTACTAACAGCTGAGGCCGCTAAACCCACAAACCCATGGATACATATGTAAGGATAGGCTGGAGGGCCTTAAGGTTGCAAAGAGATACTGCTGGGCCCGCGTCGCTGCCGGGTGTTTGCAGATCTTTAGTATCCTCCCGGTTTTCGATGGAAGTTCAGTGCTGATTTCATTTTAGTTCATTTTGTGCTGATTGATATTTTTATTCCACTAGAAAAGAGTGGCAGAGGAGGAGACACCTGGAAAAGCAGAGATGGGTTTCTGCATTTTCAATTTAATAAACTGGCCTAATGCATGTTTCTTCGAGCTACAGTCTGGATTAGATTAGGGAAGCCTAAAATAATTAGGAAAGTCTATTTCAGAGCAGAACTCAGATGAGCTGAGCTCCTTGCTGTTCTCTTTGGCTGTGTTTGGACCCAGCAGGTCTGACAGTCTATAAATAGAGGAGAAATGCCTTTAACTGTTTACATAGTTGATCCTGGTTTTTAGAGTAAACACATTCCTTCCATGTTGCCCCCCCACCAATCCCCCGTGTTGCTGGGGATAAGGCCTAGGACCTCTAGCATGCCAAGCACAGTATGGCACTGAAATATACCCCCAAACTCTCTTCTTTTAAACTGGGCCCATATTCCTACCTGCAGTTTTTCAGTGCGACCACCTCCAGCTGCATGTGACTGAATGCTACGCAAAGGAGAAAGTCTCTGAGCATTTCGGTTTCCTCCTGCCTTCCTGGCGCTTGCTGAGGAGTTTTCTGGGCAGCAGCAGGGTTCCCTCTGTTGTGTCTTCCTTTGTCCTCCCTTTCCTTCAGAGCAGACTCTGCCTCAATGTCTTGGCCTTCTGCCTCCGCCTTTCAAGTACTGAATTCATAAGCATGCGCCATAGCACCCAGCTTATCATGCGTGTGTTCAGAATTGCAAAATGAATTGCTTTGCCAGACTCGGGAAAACTATTCCTCTGTGAAAGAAAAGTAAAATTTTCATTCTTTAATCAGACGGATGGGATATAGACAGTGCACACCTGTCTAAGAAGCTCAGGTATAAGTGTGTAAGTGCCACTAGTCCATGGAAAACACTGGTTAGTTTTCAAACACTGGTATGGCCAGAACAAGCCCAAGTGTTTTTCCAGCTACTGTGATGTGTGAGACAGTGTTGTTGGCAAGCAGCTTAACCACCCTGCTTTTCAAAGAACTAAATGTTACAATTTAGTTAAGCACACAAGTGTTTGCCTGGATCCAGATTTTCTTTTATTACCAGGATTCAACCCACACGTAATTTTAGTTTCTTTCTAGAATGATCTGCTTAGAAACAGGCAGCAGAGTCCACTTACTGTCCTTTCTAACGGTCACTGTTCTGGTTTTAGAACTTCGAGTCTCCAAAGATCTAGCAGTCTAGGCAGCCGGAAGAAAGAGGCGTCCGATGGGGTGAGCATTGCACTTTTCCCATTAGCCTGAGAAGGACATCCTGAGGGAGGAGCTTCATCTTATCCCAGTCCACACGTGGGAAAAAGTCATTTTAAGCAGAGCGTGTGGTTTCTCTGATGCAAAGCCACGTGGTACAGCTAATGACAGATGTTAGGCATGAATAGAAGGAGAGAAAGTCCACAACACAAAAAATGGAGACTTGAATAAATTGTGTAGGGAACAGATGCAATGAAGATTTTGTAGTTTATATTTGTTTTGCTTTATTTTATTTTATGTGTATGAATGTTTTGCCTGAATGTATGTACGTGCTCCCTGTCGTGCAAAGCCTAGGGAGCCCAGAAGAAGGCAATGAATCCCGTAGAGCTGGAGTTGTGAGCCACCATGTGGTGCCAGGAACCAAACCTGGGTCCTTTACAAGAGCAACCAATGCTGGAGCCGTCTCTCCAGGCTCCTTTTGTAATTTCAAAGTGATGTAAACTTCATATTTGTGGAAATGAGTATATGTGACAAAGTCTGAATGTATAAAGGAGTCTTACAGCAGCTTTAAATTTTTTTTTGACAGGAAAAGGAGTCAATTCAGAAGCCTTCAGAGGTAATTTTCATATCCAAATTGAGGTATAAAGATGTTTCAACTTCCACGGCATGTAAGTTGCTCAAGTGTCTCGAGGAGACCAAAGACCTCTGAAGCATTGTGCTGAGTGTAGGGAGCTAGATGTGAAGGTCATGTGCATGTGGCTTCATTTCAGTGAAATCCATGGCATGGACCCATCCACAGAGAGTGTGGACACGTCCACAGAGACAGGCTGCAGAGGGTGGCATAGAGGAGGAGGATCGAGTGTGCTGATGTAGTGATTACTAAATGCTACTGAGTTACTCACTTTAAAAGTTAATTTTGGGTGTTTGAGATGGCTCAGCAGGGAAAGCCTAACGGTCTGAGTCAGTCCCTGGGACCCACAAGGTGGAAGGAGACCCCTACAACTTGTCCTCCGGCCTCTACACACATGTGCCATGGCACTCATGTGCCCACATGTGTTGATATTTAAAGAGGGTATCGGTGTGCATCCCAGGTCTTCTTCCCCTGGGTTTTGATCCTGAGCCTTCTAAGGAAGGATTCCAGTAAGGTAGACCTCTTACTGGATTTGACTGTCAGCTCTGAGCACCGAGGCATTGTAGGTAGACGTGGGAAATAGTGGCGACAGCTGTCAGTCAGGTCTCTTCAACGCATTGTTCAGAAACAGACCAAAGGATTCAGTGTCAGGGCTGAGATTCAGCCAGTGTCTGTCTGTGCCGTTTATAGACTCTCAGTATGATGAGTGGCAGATGGCGTAGCATTAAATGCCTCTATTCTTTCCTCATTTCAACACCCTCGGGAGCAGGAAATGTTAGAGAAAGGAGAAACGCATCTAGAAACAGCTCCGAATAACACTAAAACAGTGTAGCATACTTTATTTGTATGATTGCCAACTCAGATGGTCCAAAAGCTCACAATAAATAGCTGCTGATTAGACCCCTTCTTCTTCTTGGAGAAGAATGTTTGAAAAAACTGGAGTAAGCCGCCTTATCGCTAGTATAAAAGCTTGCACAATGCCTGTTTTGCAGAAGAATGATGTTAGCTGTCTAGTGGTGTAGCTGAGAGAATGTGAAGGCTTCCCGTTCTCTACCGTAGTTGCCAGGAAAGTAAGAAATCTGCCACTCCGGGTGTGTGGTATGTTCACATCATGGCTTGGAGGAGTGCAGCAGGTAAAATTCAATGGTGTAAAAGTCTGTCTTAAACATTTGAAGTCATACACATACTGATTGTAGATTGGAGGTGAACACATGTTGCTTTTGCTTAAGCAGTGTTGGAAATAGACTTGGTAAACGTCTGTAATAGGCCACTGGCATTAGTGCTCAGTGTTACTTCAGCTGTTCCTTGAAATGAAATGAGCCGTGTCCGCGACACACAGTTTGGAGGTGAGACTGGCGTGTCCTAACGATGCACTCTGAGGCTCGGTTTCCTCGCCTCTCAGGATAAAGCTCCAGCGGACAGCTGCAAATTGGGGACCCTCCCTCCCAGAGCCCCAGGACATGAAGCCTCCGTGGACGACAACCCCTTTGGCACTCGAAAAGCCAGATCCTCCTTTGGCCGGGGATTTTTTAAAATCAAAAGTAACAAGAGGACAGCAAGTGCCCCAAACCTGGGTACGTGTGGCTAGGCTGCGGGGCCTGGGTACGTGTGGCTAGGCTGCGGGCCCTGGGTACGTGTGGCTAGGCTGTGGGCCTTGGGTACGTGTGGCTAGGCTGCGGGGCCTCGGTCTTCCAGAGGGGAGGAAAGGCCCTGGGTACGTGTGGCTAGGCTGCGGGGCCTCGGTCTTCCAGAGGGGAGGAAAGGCTAGTCTCCACCCACCCCGTGCTCATCTGTGTATGCATTCCTCTGTCTCAGAAATGAAGGTGAATGCCTGGGGGAGGGACGTGGGCAAAAAGTGTTTTAGTGGATTTAATGTAGCAGCGTGAAGATACGTCAGCATCACCCCATCTCTGCCCTGTGGTGTAAAACAGCAAAACGACCTAAGCTCGTGCTCTGGGACTTCATTCAGCTAGTCCTGTGTTGTGGTGGGATGAACCGGCCAGTGGATGACCCTGTGCCATCTGTGTACTCAGTGCAGTATAGTGCTCCTCCCCTGGGTGTTTGCCGCCGAGGTGTCTGATCTCTTTCATTTTGTCACCCCTGTGTTCTCTCCATTGGGCTGCGTGTGATTGTGTGCATTGTTGGGATATCTGAAGATCGTAAACGAAGTGCCAGTGCACCCACCTTAGGTATCGTACCCCTGCATGCCAGTCCTCGCCAGCGCTGTGCTCCGTCTAATCCCCACTCTTGGCCTCTGTGATCTCTAGAAAGCGAGCTGGCAGGCATCAGAAAACATAGTTGTCTGTTCCAGAGTGTTCCTTCATCTTTGCCTAAGACAGGCCCTGTAGAGCCTTTGCTTCCAACATGCAGTTTTAACCAATGCTTTTGACACTGTAAGCAGCTCCAAGAGGGCCTAGAAATGCCCAGCAGCCTGCAGGGCACAGGACTAGAATGGACTGGCCTTGTACATCCCAGCTCTTTCACCCTTGACACACACTGTCACACTCACTCCCAGCCCTTCCCACGTGTTCATTTCCCCAGCCTCCTCACGGAAATGTTTGTAGCTAGGCCAGAGATGACAGTTTCAGACGCACTCTTCCTGTGGGAACATTCTGACATTTTATTGCTTTGAAGATGGAGATAATTTAGTCATGACCGGAGTGACTTTAGATGGTGTCTGAGGGATCTCCACCAGTGATTTGAAGAGAGGAGGTTCAGTTTTTCTCTCTGTGGGGGATAGTGTAGGAAGCATGATGTGTTTAGAACGAGGCTGAACTGGAACATTATCAGGAGCAAGTTCAGTTTTTCTCTCTGTGGGGGATAGTGTAGAAAAAGTCTTCAAAAGAATAAAGGAAGCATGATGTGTTTAGAACGAGGCTGAACTGGAACATTATCAGGAGCAGCCAATCCCGTCGTGGCTGTGGATGAGAGTAGATAGGTTCCCCCCGGCTTTCCCAAGCTCTTGTCCGTGTGTCTCCTTCCAATGCATGTGTCCCAGCGAAGTGACATCCTTCGTGGTCAAAATGTCTACAGTGTGTGCATAAGCTAAACTGTTCTAGATGGGCAGCTGTTTCCAGCTACTTCTGCATCTTTCCAGGACTGTAGTTGATGCTCACAGGCAAATACTGCTTATAACTGTAATCACAGCCCTGCTTCATAGAAAATCCAATTTCTGCAACTCGCTAAAACCCTGTTCTTACGGTTTTTGAACCTTTTTTTTTCCCGTATAAAGTGTCACCTGGGGGAACAGTAGCCACATCTTCCTGTGGCTGTTCTTCCAGGAGTGGAGAGTTGTAGGAACAACGTTGTGCACAGCCCAAGGTCTGCAGTGGCAGATGTACCAGGAACTTGTCTAAGGCAAAACCAACAGGGGCTGGTTTCATATCTAAAGAAAACATGCCCGTCTCCAGCCACATCTTCTCGGGGCCTGGCATGTGTGGGCTAGGGTCAGTTTTTAATTCTCTTGAGACAGGGCCTCACCATGCGTCCTGGTCTGTCATTGAACCTGAGACCTTCCTGCCTTAGCCTCCCGAGTGCTGTGTGATCTAAATGGCAAAGGACGGTGAAGAGTAAAATGACATCGAATTTTAATTATGTATCAAGTAAAATTTGAGAGACGACTTGGGGAAACTGGGCGGAGCTGGTGGATCCAAGGTGACCCTGGCACCTTAAGTTGGCACTCTGCACACGCACTGAGGCTGGCAGGGGAGGCCCAGAGGTTTTGATGCCACCTGCTTATGCATGCATGACACCATGATGTAGTGTTGCGTTTAGAGCAGGTGAGCTTGTTGAGAGATGCTGAAGAGGGAACCGGGAGCAGAACCTGAGTGGACGGCAGGAAGGAGAGAAAGAGAGGTCTAGAGCAAAGGTACATCAGGTGCAGATCTAAGACGGTGGTCATGACTGAAAATAAAGAAGGTAATGATTTTAAAGGGTGTAGGTGGACGCTCGCTATGCCGAGTACTATGGCAAAAATCAACATAATCGCATGACACATTGAAAACCACTTGAGAAAAGAATGTAACAACCCTGCTCTGCCCATTTCTAAAGAGAGAGTCTTACAGTGTAGCCCAGGCTGGCCCCCAAATCATCGTACTCCTGTCTCAGCCTCTGGAGTTCGGGATGTACCAGTGTACAGCACCACACCCAGATCAGTGTCACACTTTTTTTTTTTTGTCTTTTGTGTTTGCTTTCTGCTGTAAGGCTGGCTTCCCGAGCGCGTACGCAGCGCCCTCAGTGGGGACTCAGTGTCACACTTTTAATCTCAAAGGAGTGACTGTAAGTTAACTAACTTTATACAAGAGAGTGCACTGCAGGGAACGTGCATTTATGTTCATTTTTCATATTTACAGGGAAATCTGTAAATCACTGGTTTAGAGACCAAAAGAAGAATTCTTAAGTTGTGAAAACCACGAGGTTAGTATCTCCTCATGTTCACCCAGTCTCTGTTCTATGCTTGGAACAGCCGAGACAGAAAAAGAGGCAGTGGAGCACCTAGATTTGGCTGGTACATCTCGGTCCAAAGACTCACAGGGGACCAATCCCTTCCAGACATCTCCATCATCTCCAGATGCTAAAAAGAAGTCCCGCGGTATCATGAGACTCTTTGGAAAGTAAGTGGAAGAAGGAACAGGCAGAGGTCCTGTGTCCCATGCTGCTTGAGTACTGGAACTCACCATGTAGATCAGACTGGCCTCGGTCTCATAGAGCTCCTCCTCCAGAGTGTTGGGATTAGAGGGTAATGGGGTTATGGATTGAAAGTGGGAACCAAATCGTAAGACTTTGTCTTCTTTTTTGGAAGGAAGATTGTGATTTGGAATTCATTAACTCCTTGGGCCTCAGTTAACATTTAAATTCAAATACCCATGTTAATGGCATACAAAAATCTTCTAATTAACTATAAAGACAGGCGTCCTCCAGTGTAACATATGGCCATGTGTGTTGTTTCTTCAGACTTAGGAGAAGTCAGTCAACTACATTCAACCCAGAGGACATGTCGGAGCCTGAATTCAAAAGAGGAGGGACTAGGGCCACCGCAGGCCCTCGGCTGGGTTGGTCTCGAGATTTGGGACAGTCTGTCGGGTAAGAACCCCAAAGTGTATGGATGTGAGCACCACTGTCAGGTCTCGTGAGCACCTGAGATGCTGAAGCCCTGGCTTACCGTGGTGCCTAGGTGGGGTGGTGTTGTCAGTGGTTGGCACAGCTGTGCAGGTGAGGGCTGTGTCAGGAGGTGAGGTGTCAGTCGCACTGTTCCTGGGTGGCGTAGCTCCTCTTGTGAGGCGTATTCTAATGCAAAGCCTTGGGAAGATGAGGCAGTGTTGTTGTTACAAGGTTAGACCTCAGGGCTGGGCATGGGGCTCGGCAGCAGACGTCCTGCCTGTCATACATGGGGGCCCAGCCCAGGTTCCGTCTCCAGCACTACAGGGGGAGGGGGAGGTGAGGATGGTGGGTCAGCCTGCTTAGATGGAGCGCTCTCTGCTCTCAGCACCCTACTGGGTGTCTGGCTTTTCTCATTATTGTAGTACGAACTAGCACCTACCCTAAAAGCAGACTGTAGAGACTAAATGAGGTAATCTGTGTGACGTATCCAGCAGACGATAACTATTCAGTAAACATTAGAGCTTAATGGAATCTTTGGAAGTATTTAAAGGCAAACTGAGTCAGAATTCTTAGGACTTACCAAGACTATACTTTATTCAACTGAAGGAGTAAATGTCTCCTTAAGCTAGTTGGAGGGCGGGGCACTGTACGTTGTTTTATCTACTAGGACTAAGAACTCTTCCTATACTTTATCCAGGTGTACAGCTGGTTTGGAGTTCACTACACTGATACCAAGCGTAAAGGGTGGGGCTGGAACCTTGCAGTACAAGGTGTTGGCACTAAACCTTTTAAGAGTAATCAGCCAGAAACTTTTTAAACAGACTCCTTACACAGGTGGAACCGTGGACACAGGCTTCATCAAGAGGAAAGTTCTTTGGCCTTCTTCCAAAGCCAAATGGTCTCGTTTGCCACGTGTTTCTCTTTGAACACAATAAAGAGCTCCCTTTTGCTGTGAAAAGTATTTTGGGGTGCCTGTACCCGCACTCACACACAGCACACACAGGATAGTAATAATTTTCTCAGTCATGGCATTGCCACATTTCCTTTTCACAACAGAAAGAACACCAACAGGTGGGGTGGTGCCTGTTGTCCCTGATACTGAGTGACTGAGGCAGGAGGATTGCTTTAGTCCGAGAGTTGTAGGCTGCACGACACTCTGCCAATCAGGTGTCCGCACTAAGTACAGCATTTATATGGTGACCTCCCAGGAGTTGGGGACCACTAGGTTGCTGAAGGAGGGGGGAGCCAGCCTCGTTCAGAAATGGAGCAGTCAAACATCATTTGTATGTCTCAATAAAACAGAATTAGTCTTGACTTTTCCTTCCCGCACTTGGGGAGCATATCATCTTTGTGATTCTCAGCCAGAGCGAGACCATAATTCTGCCAAAGTGAATTCAAGATAGACTTGAGTTTTACACTCCATGGTGTGTTGTCAGATGGCGTTGGTTGGATCTGGCGTGGTGACTTGTGGTGCTTCATCTTGGTATTTTTCTGTAGAATAGGTTCTTGATAGCACACATCAGTCCTTTTGCCATTTCATTTGAAATCAAGACAGGGATCTTAGAAGGTAACAAATTGGGCTGGAGAGATGGCTCAGCGGTTAAGAACACTGGTTGTTCTTGCAGAAGACCCGGGTTCGAATCCCAGCCCCCATGTGGCAGCTAACAACTGTCGGAAATTCCAGTTCCAGGGGATCCAATGGCCTCTTCTGTCCTCTGCAGGCATTGTGGCAGCTAACAACTGTCAGAAATTCCAGTTCCAGGGGATCCAATGGCCTCTTCTGTCCTCTGCAGGCATTGCACGACATGGGTGCACTTACCTACATGCAGACATAACACTTATACACTTAAAATAAAAAATAATAATTAAAATATTTTTTTAAAAAAGAAAATAAATTAAGCTTTTCACAGCCATCAGTAAGTGTCTGCATCCGTTGACTGTCCAGTTGCTCAGGTGACTCTAAGTCACAGGACCAGCTTAGGGTTGCTGTTTACACGTTTTTCCTTTTTCTACAGTGACTTGGATATGCCATTTGCCAAATGGGCCAAGGAGCAAGTCTGCAGCTGGCTGGCAGAGCAAGGCTTGGGGTCCTACCTGAATAACGGCAAGCACTGGATCATATCTGGCCAGACGCTTTTGCAGGCTTCTCAGCAAGATCTAGAGAAGGTGACTTCTTTCTCTGCCCTGTTTCACAATACCGAGAGTGAGTGCAAGCCCATTGGCAGGGTGATCCTCCAGCATGGCTGGGGCCTGCCGGTTTCTTCTCTAGCAACACATCCATGTGTCTGCACACACACACACACACACACACATACACACAAAATATGAATATCCAGTTGTTTAGTATCCCAAAACAAAGGCGTGTAAGGGGAGCCAGTGTTATTTCTCTTGCTTATTTTATCTCATAATCTTAAAAGGAAGGGCCTACTCTTGACGACTCTCTGTGAAAAAGTTAAGCCGTAAGTATTGGCTTATGTAATTATATAGCTATCATGTAATAGCCTTAAGCTCCTGCGTCTCAGTCATTTAGTAGACTTATTTAGACTTTTCAATGTATTCTGTGCAGTTCAACTTTATGTCACAGAAGACAAAAACACTATTTTATGTTCCAATTATTTATCGTTTTATACAAAATAAGAGTAAAACCCACATCACACTTGTTATCTCTCTTACAATAAAGGGAGCCACTAGAAATGTCCAGCGTGCCACCACACCGGCTCTGCTTCCTTGGGCCCCTTCCGCAACAGTGTGTTGGCCTGAGGTTTGTACCCTCCTCTAATGTAGAACTGGTTTAGCAGCCTGAGGTAGTGTGTTAGCTTCATGCCGAGCTGTGACTTTAAGACCCGTTCATCTTGGAGGACTCCACATCCTTTGGCGGCCCAGCCCCATAGGTGGAATTCTAAGGTCAGCGTCACTGTTTATTGCTTCAGGAACTCGGAATCAAGCATTTACTTCATCGAAAGAAACTGCAGCTAGCCCTGCAAGCCCTGGGGTCCGAGGAGGAGACCAATCATGGAAAGCTGGATTTCAACTGGGTCACTAGTAAGAGGCTTGAAAAATGATAATTGTTGTCGTATTATCTTCTTGATCTCAAGGCAGATGTTTAACTGGTCATGACTGGCTTCTCTCCTCTAGGATGGCTGGATGATATTGGCCTCCCTCAGTACAAGCCCCAGTTTGATGAAGGGCGGGTAGACGGGCGAATGCTGCACTACATGACTGTTGTAAGTGGCTCTGCAGGGCACTTCCTGTGAGGTTGATGTCATGGGGCTTGGCGATTGCTACAGCTTTGGGATCATTTCAAATCCCCAATTTAAGCCAAGCAAAACTAAGTTTAGACTGTGCTATCGAGAAAGTTAATATGTTCAACAAGTCAAATATTGAATGAGTGCATTTAATTGTGTGTGAATCATACCTCATAAAAATATTTCTGAGGGGGGCTGGAGAGATGACTCAGGGGTTAAGAGCACTGACTGCTCTTGCAGAGGACCCGGGTTCGATTCCCAGCACCCACATGGCAGCTATGAACCGTCCTTAACTCCAGTTCCAGGGGAATCTGAAGCCCTCTTCTGACCTCTGAGGCACTGTATGACACGGGTGTGCTCACATACATGCAGGCAATATACACTCATACACATAAAATAAAAATAATAAATATTTTTTAAAAATTTCTGAGGTAGAGAGAATGTGGGTTTGAAGTGCGGCCATTTCTACATTGCATATCGTGCAGTGGCCGTCCAGTTAGGCAGCTCCTTTTGCCCTGACTTCCACAGGGACTGGTCTTCCCCTTTCCCTTCCCTGGACAACCATTGCCTGAAACCTTTCTTACTTCAGTTCACGTCTTTGAGGTCAGGAGTTACTGAGGTAAAGGAGAGAAGGGAGTGGCTAGACTTTTACTCCTGATTCCTTCTTTTGGGCATTTTTAGCCTTCCAGCCAGTGAACAAAAAGACTGTTCCCCTGCTTTAAACCCACAGGAGAGATGGATTCCAGGAGAACTTTGTTCTAGAGTCCATAGAATGATCAATGTTCTACACAAGATAGTTTTATTTAAAGAACATTTTGTGGAGCTGGAGAGATGGTGGCTCAGTGGTTAAGAACACCAGCTGTTCTTGCAGAAGACCTGGGTTCGAATCCCAGCACCTACATGGCAGCTAACAACTGTCCGTAACTCCATTTCCAGGGGATCCAACAGCCTCTTCTGTCCTCCGCAGTCATTGCACGACACGGGTGCACTTACCTACATGCAGGCAATACACGCATACACATAAAAAAATAAAAATACAAAAAAAAGAACATTTTGTAAACTAGGCTGTCTCCTAAGTATTTTCTTTGTTAAATAGGAGGAAAGCTTAACCAGCCATCTCCCGTGGGAATTTCTCATTGTGAAGGAAATCTAGAGATTAGCTCAGGGGATTTGTTCCCTCCTTTTATCATTAAACCCAAATCCTTATACATTGGGCAGAAACATCATGTAAACTTGCACGAATAGCCCTAATCTGTGTAGTGCGTTTCAGATTTACTGTCCTCTTTTAAGCGCTGGACTCCTGAATGCCCCACCTTCAGCCCTTCAGTTAGGACTATCATGAACCCATTCCTTAGATGAGGAAACAAAGAATTGAGAAACTGGATAACGGAACCAGGTTTCCATGACTCGAAAGTGCTAGGAAGGCATAAGTGTCTGAACTCAGGCTGGATCTAGACTGGTGTCTTAGTAACATTCCGCCTGGAACAAAATTCAGCGACAGTTGACCTGCCTGTGGATGTGTGAGCATGTCCCAAGGAATGCGTGCAGATTCGGGCTTAAAAATCACAGAGAGCAGATGCATGACTGTCATGACTGAAAGTGCAAGTGACCCTGGAGAATGTGGCCCTGAAAGTCCTGAGCCACAAAGCATGTGTTTGAATGTGGCATTCTGGATTGGATCCTGGAACAGGAAAGGGATCTTGGTGGAAAATGTGAGATGCAAAGCTAAAATGGGGCCAGGGCGCTGGCTCAGCAAGTAAAATTGCTGTTGTACAAACCCCACTTCTGTTCCTGGGCCCCTGTTAAGGTGGAGGAGAGAATGGACTGCACAAAGTTGTGTATGCACACACACACACACACACATGCACGCACACACAGATGCATGTGTGAGCACATACATAACACACTAATATAAGAAAACTTAAAATTAGAATCTGTGCTTTAATTTTGTTGCCTGTATTGATGTCTTAGTTTTGATAAGTACATCACAATTTTATATGATATTAACATTAGAAGTATAAAAATGTACATGAAACTACGTTATCTAGAAACTTGTGTAAGTCTAAAATTATTTCAAGATATGTTTTCAGAAGCAATTAACATTGTATTTATATTGTAAACATGCATTTAAATTTTTTTAATCTGAGACTTTAATTAAGTGAAAATAACATTTATTAAATAATAAGTGTTTGGAATGGAATGAGTATCACAGTTTTAGAAAAAAAATGTTAAATGCTTTTTCTAATTTAACATAAGATACTACATTTAATAAATTAACCCTAACAAAATTCAGGAAATAACTTTTGCTCAGTTAATAGCTATCTTAAAACTTTTCTATGGTAGGTTACATTCATGTCTCTTTTTTTCACAAGACACATGTTATCAGAAGGGTGTGCCCAGTGGACGCCCTCCTGTTGGTTCTCCGGGTGTGTTTGGAAGGAGGCTTATCTTGATGCTGCCTCTGAGGTCACCTTCTTTTGAGATGTTTGTCATGGTGTACTTGGCAGGTTTGGAATTGTTCCCAGTAGCTGTAGACTGTGAATGTGTTTCCTTGAAGAGGTTGATTGGTGACATATCTGATACCTGGAATTCTTAATTTCTCTTCTCTTTTACTATCACCAGAATCTTCGCACTGAAAGACACAGTTTTTCTCGCATTGGTTAACATGTGTGCTAGGTGAGGCACAGCCATCCTGGGCCAGGGAAGCTCTGAGGGGCCTTAATTCAGAAAACAGTCTTGATCCTCAGTGAGCTTCCCCGCCTCTCACTGTGTGCTGAGAGTTCAGGGGGCAGTTCAGCTGGTGTCCCCACAGGTACTTGAGTATCTGGTTTGCCTGCAGATCAAGTTCTGGAAGCCAAGGAGGAAACAAAGGCTTTCCTTTGCTTGCAGTGTGTACAAATTAGAGCAGGTTGGAGCTGGGGTGGAACTCGGCAGTGAGAGAACCTGGTATGATGGTGTGTCATCAGCAACTCTTGAGGCAGAGGTAGAAGGATCTTGAGTTGGAGGCTAGCCTAGCAAGACTGTCCTCTGGCCTCTAAAATAAAAGAGGTTGTCTTTTGTAGTGGCGCAGTGGGAGCTTGTCAGAGCCCTGGGGTGATGCTGTCCTAACCCGGACATCTGGGAGGAAAAGCAGGTGGTGGAGAGCTGTGTTGGGAACAGCATGGATTTGAGGTTCTAGTGCGGGATTTGTTCCGAACAGCAAAGTAACAGGCAGAGGCAAGTCCAGGGCTCTTCAGTGTCCTGGGACTCCCCAGGACGGCCCTCCTGCTGTGGGCCAACCCAGTGACGTCTGTCCTCTCTCTCTCCTCCACAGGATGACCTGCTGACTCTGAAGGTTGTGAGTGTGCTGCACCATCTCAGTATCAAAAGGGCCATCCAGGTCCTGAGGATCAACAACTTCGAGCCAAACTGCCTGCGGAGGCGGCCGTCCGATGAGGTAGCGGTTCAGACAGAGGTTTGCACACAGACACACACATGACCGTCCACGTGTGAAAAGCTAAGACCCATTTCCACTGAAGACCTGCAGGAAAAGCTGCTCTCCTTAGAGCCACAGACCTGGGCTCGTTCACTTCTTGAGCCTTGTTTTTCTGTATTTCTCCTTCATCCCCACGAAGTTTCCGCTGTGTAACTGAAGCCAAAATTTGTTTTCATTTAGGTCTCCTCTTCTTCACAGGTGTGTTATTTTCCGGCCACCTTGACCGCAGAGTCAAATATCACTATAAAGACCGCCTTTACCTTATCTTATTAGTGTACAAGGAAACTTGAATCTGTGCTACAAATTCTTTTAGAGAAATCAAATTAGCAAATACATTTTGCCCTTTCTTTGAGCATTTCGTAGGATGTCAAATAGCATGCTCCACAGGGCAGACCTGTTAGATCCTGCGTGCGAGTTCAGTATTAGGTATCTGGTCATCAACATGTGAAGTGCACGATGTGTGTTTGTTCCCACAGAACAACATCACCCCGTCTGAGGTTCAGCAATGGACCAACCATCGAGTGATGGAGTGGTTGCGCTCAGTGGACTTGGCAGAATATGCCCCCAATCTCAGAGGCAGTGGCGTCCATGGAGGGCTCATGGTAAAACCAATGTATTTATTTTTATTTTATGTGTATGAGTGTTTTGTCTGCATGCAAGTAAGTGCAACCAGGTTGTGCAGTGTTCACGGAAGCCAGAAGAAGGTGTCTGGATCCCCTGGAACTGGAGTTGTAGACAGTTGTTAGCTGCCATGTGGGTGCTGGGGAGTGCACCCGGGTCCTCTGCAACAGCAGCCAGTGCTCTCAACCCCTGAACCATCTCTGTAGCCCCCAACCTCTTGTTTCAGTTTGAGATCGACTGCTATTCTGTTCCCTTTAGTCTGATGAACAGCATGTTGAGGGCGAGCATCCCTACTCTGAAATCTGCATTGCTTTAAAATCTGGAAACACTGTGCTTCCACCTCACAGGTAGACCGTTCCACACCTGACCATAGACTAATTCAGATACGCTAGCAATACATTGAGTTACTGTGCTAGACAGCTCCAGTTGTCAACTTGACACACCTGGGTTGAGGGAGCCTCAACTGGGGAATTGCTTCCATTGGATTGGCCTGTGGCCATGTCTGTGGGAGGGCCCAGCCCACTGTGGGTGGTGCCAACCCTGGGCAGGTGGGTCTATGTTGTATAAGAAAGCAGGATGAGCAGGGGCCAGGGGAGCAAGCCAGTAAGCAGCGTTCCTCCGTGGTCTGTGCTCCAGCTTCCTGCCCTGAGCTCCTTGGCTTCCCTTGATGATGGACTGTGTTATAAGCCAAATAAACCCTTTCCTCCCCAAGATGTTTTTGGTCTGTGTTTTTATCACAGAAATAAAAAGAAACTAGAACAGTTCCTATGAAGCTGTGTATGTAAAGTGCATGTGAAACAAAATGAATTTTCTTGAGACTTGGTCCAATCCCCAGGAAGAATCATTGTATGCTGATATTCCTAAACCTGAGAGAACGCAGGGTCTGCAACACTTCTGGTTCCGAGCATTTCAGGTGGAGGACACAAGTCCTGTATCCGTTTGTTTTTCGTGACCCTGAGGTCCTCCTTCCCAGCCCTCCTGTGCTGTCTGCTGCGGATCCCACTTGCAAAGTGTTCTTATCTACACTGTCAAACTCCAGAGCAGTTTCTCTTTACTGTCCGTTAACACTGAGTAACATGTAGCTGCTGTCTTTGACGTGACCATGACTTAAACTCCTACCAAGGTATAAATGGTATTCCCCCACATGGACGTTTCCTGAGGGATAGCTTGCAGAGAAAGCGCTGTGGGAGCAGAAGTGTGCTGGCCAAGCGTGATTGGATTGTGGGGCCAGCCTCCACCCCCCACTGCCTCCCTGGGCTGTTGAGAGGGTCACTGGAGATGAGCCAGACTGTGAGGAACTTGCAGGGCAAACATGGATGACACAGGTACTTTTCTTCCAGGTTCTAGAGCCTCGTTTTAATGTTGAAACTATGGCTCAGCTGCTGAACATCCCGCCAAATAAGACCTTGCTGCGAAGACATTTGGCCACCCACTTCAACCTCCTGATTGGGGCTGAGGCTCAACACCAGAAGCGTGATGCCATGGAGTTGCCAGATTACGTGCTGCTAACAGCTACTGCCAAAGTGAAGGTTGGTTCAGCTTGTGCCATTTTATGGCTGTGTAACGGTTGCGAAGGAATCGACTGTTTATTAATGAGTTGAAAGACTCTATATATGTACATATACGACGTATACATATTTCTTCAAGAACAATTAAAGGAGTGCTTTTTTTTGTTGTTTTGTTTTGCTTTTTGAAACAGGGTCTCCCTGTAGCCCCAGCAGGCCTGGAACTCACTATGTAGACCAGGCTGGCCTCAAATTCACAGAGATCCGCCTGCCTCTGCCTCCCAAATTCTGGGATTAAAGGCATGCGCCACCATGCCTGGCAAAAATTTTTTTTTTTTAATGTGTATGAGTGCTTTGCCTGTATGTATGTAAGTGTGACCGTTCATGCAATGTGTACAGAGGCCAAAAGAGGGCATTGGATCCTCTGGAACTGGAGTTGCAGGCAACTGAGCTCCCCTGTGGGTGATAGGAACTGAACCTGGGTCCTCTGTAAGGGCAGCTAAAGCTCTTACCCGCTGAGTCATCTCTCCAGCCCTGAGTACACTTTCAAAGCTTCTGCTGAAGTCATTCATCCTCTTAGAGCTGAGGAAGGTGATGCTGGCTGGTCAGCATCTGCTGTGCTGACAGCTATGATGTGAGCCCAGTCTGTGATCACAGCAGATCTGCTTCCTGTAGGTGAACTGGGGTGAGAGGAAGACCTGGGACTGGAAGTATAGCTCAGAACACATGGGCCTGGGTTTGATCTCCTGACATTGCAGACAGGAAAATAAATAAACAGCAAGGTTTCTCCTCTACAGAGTCAGCTTTTCTGCCTTACAAATGGCAAGGCTTGTAATTTAGGAAAAGCTACTTAAGATATTTGAAGCCAGGGGTTGTGTCACCCACCTCTCATCCCCAAGTGCCGGAGGCTGAGGCAGTAGGATTACAAATTCAAGGTCAACCTGGGCTGCGTAGAAAAATCCTGTGCCCCCCACCCCCCCGCAAAAAAAAAGGTTAAAATAAAAAAAGGTAAAGATGCCAGGTTTCATACAAGGTGCACACATTTAATCCCAGCACTTGGGAAGAAGAGGCAGGTGGGTTTCTGTAAGTAAGATCAATGCCAGCCTGATCTACATAGTGAGTTCCAGGCCAGCTGTAGCTACAGAGAAACCCTGTCTCAAAACAACAAAAACCCCCAACCCAGATCCGCCCACCTCTGCTCTGAGTGCTGGGGTTAAAGGCATGTGCTGCCACATTTTGAGCCAGAGTACTCTTAAGTTGCCTGGGCAGGCCTTGAACTTGTAACTCTCCTGCCTCAGCTTCCAAGTCGCTGAGATTAGAGACCTGTGCCCCTAGGCCCAGCTAAGACCACTGTTTTTATTGATCTTATATTGAAAAGACTCGAAAAATTGGACTTAACCCCGAGAGCATTCCTATTGTATTAGGTCCTGCCTGATCTGAACAAAGGCTTTTAATGTATCTAGTCTGTGGTGTGATTAGAAACAGTAAGATTAATCTTCTGAGCCTTACGACAAAGACTGTTTATGATATTTGGGTGCATTGCTCGTGTGTCTGGATGTCTTTGGCTTTTGATGCAGATTTAATCACGTAGTTGCTTTCTCTGTATAATGAGGCAAGAAATTAAATTGTGTGTTGTTAGTCATCAAACTCCTGGGCATCTTTTGTTTGCTTTTAAAGCCAAAGAAACTTACCTTTAGCAATTTCGGGAATCTGAGAAAGAAGAAACACGAAGATGGGGAGGAATATGTTTGTCCAATGGAATTGGGACAGGCGTCAGGAAGTGCCTCTCAGAAGGGGTTTCAACCTGGCCTGGACATGCGGCTGTATGATGAGGACGATCTGGACCGGCTAGAGCAGGTAAGCAACCGCACTGTGGGGTCAAGGGCATGCAGACGCCTAGTGACAGCTATGCACTGTGCCTAATCAAGGATGCTGAAGCCTGAAGTTTCCAAATGCCTAAACATAAACCGGAGCGGACGTGAATGCATGGCTTGCTGTTTCCAGGTACTGTCCTAAGTATTTGATGTATTTGCTTGTTGGTGCTGATCTGAAGACCTAGAAAGTGGGGGCTGGAGAGATGCTCAGCAGTTAACAACACTGGATGTTCTTGCAGAAGACCCGGGTTCAAATCCCAGCACCCACATGGCAGCCAACAACTGTCCATAACTCCAGTCCCAGGGGATCCGACCACCTCTTCTGACCACAGCAGGCAGTGCACGACATGGGTGCGCTCACATACATGCAGGCAATACATGCATACACATAAAATAAAAATAATACATAAATTTAAAAATAAAAAGACCTAGGCAGCGTTGCCGCGGTCAGGAACGTGTCCGTCCACTTGTCTGCACCTTTTTCTCTTTCTCTTTTTGCATTTTTTAATTAAATTTTTGTGATTTTCATACAATATAGTTTGATGGCATTTAGATCTGCTCCCCTCTCTGCACCTCCCTCACTGCCCCCACCCTATTTAATGAACACTCGTATATACACACACACACACACACACACACACATATATGTATACTATGGCCTATAGAGTCTGACTTGTGTCCCCCAGTGTCCCTCAGTGTGGTTCCATCCACTGGACCCACCAAGAGTCCCATCCCTGTAAGACACTGTCTCCCCACTACCTAGCAGCTATTAGCTGCAAAAAGTTCCTTAGGTTGGGTTGGAGTTTTTTACCCACTTCTCCAGGTCTGTGCTGGGATTTTGTCTGGTTTGAGCTTGCATGGGACTTGTCCATGCTGTCACCGTTACTGTGAGTTCATATGAATAACTAACTCCCTAGCTGTCTGGAAAACTCTTGTTTCCTTGTGGTCCTCCACTCCCTCTGGCTCTGAGTCTTTCTGCCCTCTCTTCCACAATGATCCCTGAGCCTCGGGAGACAGAAGTTTGATACAGGTGTCTATTCGGGGATAAGCGCTCTGCAGCCTCTTGTTCTCTGCACGTTGACTAATTGTTGGTCTCATCTGCACTTTTGAAATTGTGAATGTTTGTCCTGTTCTGGTCTGTTCCTGGCAGATGGAGGACTCAGAAGGCACAGTGAGACAGATAGGTGCATTCTCTGAAGGCATCAACAACCTCACAGTAAGTGTGTGCCATGAACTGAAAACGTTCCTCTGAAAGCATCTAAAGCACAGACCCCTCCATGCAGGTTGGAGGGTATGCGGTTTTGAGCTCAGGACTCCATATGTAACTCACTGTCCCCTTGCTTTCCAGCACATGTTAAAGGAAGACGACATGTTTAAAGATTTTGCCGCCTGCTCCCCCAGTGCCAGCATCACAGATGAAGACTCAAACGTTTGACCAGAGTGCCCCGGCAAGGACCAGGACCTTAAAGTCTTTCTCAGCTTTGTTCTTCAAATACTGTGTGTCACAGGTGACAGGTTGTCTGTCCTTTATTGTTCCAACTTCTGCTCACTCAGACAGAAGTGGAAACAGAAGGCAGGGGCACTGAAAGATGCTGTGGAAGATGAGACACTGGTGGATGGAATACGCTTGTTTTTCCTCTATTTAATGTATAAGTCTGTGATATATTTAAAGTGTTGCATTTAAGATGAGTATTTTACCAGAGTGTTTCGTTCACATCTCCAGGTTGGAGGGTTTGGGAGCAGCGACCAGGATGTAAGTGATCTGGCCACATCAATGCTCACTGGGCCAGCAGATGAGTGTGTGGGCTTCATGATGCATGCAGTGTGTCACCAAACACCAGCCACACCTCCACTCTTACTGTCTTATTTTTATATATTTTTCTAAATATGTGTATATATACAGTATATAGAAAACAGAACTTTTATTTTGTGACATAAAGAAGATGATCAAAGATCATATTAAAAACAAAGCAAAAAAGAAGAAAGCTTAGTGATCTAAATTTTTATATACCACTTGGCTCCTGAAAGACATCAGAATCCTCTTTTTTTTCCTCCACTGATGCATTTTAACAATGTTAGTCATTCAAGCTAAATTATACATGAAATATACTTGATGATTCCACAAAATTTTCAAGCAGTTCAAGAATCCCATCCTTAATCATGGACCCATTGACTTTAGAAGGAAGAATTTGAGGCCATCCTACATTACCACTTGAATTCGTTCAGATGTATCCATATCTCCCTCCAAAAGTTTTTGTCAGAATGACTTTGAAGAAAGCAAGACCAAAACAAAAGCCTTTACAGTATTACATTCTTATTTTCTTCTTTGCTTAACGTACTACATTGAAATACTAGGCCTGCCTAGCCGTGTCAGCTGAACGTGGCCCAGGCTGTCAGTGGGGTTTTAGATTATTTCAGTGAGAAGTCAAGTGCTCCGCATTTGCACAGGAGATTCTAGTGGCTGTCCTGTTCAGTAATGTAGCCCATGTTCTGTCATACGAGGCCCAAACAGAAAACAGAAGATAAGCAAAAGCTGTTCCTGTGCCCTGTGTGCATGTGTATGTGTGTTCTGAGGGTGTTAAAGGCAATCTCTTTCTCATTCAGGGCTACATGTAATGAGAGCCAGCTGTGGAAAAGATTGGGCATTCACAGATTGGGTGGAGGTGAGCAGTTGAGTTGATTGTAATGGATTTGGTATAACCTATTTTTGAGTATCAGTGGTATCACCTTTTATGTTCTCAGAAAGTTATGAACTGGTCATTGTGTATCTTGGGACACTAACGCCTAACCAATGATTTGATGCCAACAGTGATTTGCTTTGGACACTACTGTTCATGATAAGTATATTGGGTTCTTCCTGTATTGGAGTTTTAATGTGAATAAATGACACCATTTGGAAAGCTCAATTTGTTATTAGAACCTGGTTGAAAATACCAGGAGACAGTTACAGATGCCAAATTTCTTATTGTATAGTAACATAATATGTGACAAGGTTAAAAACTATTGATTATATATTTTATTTACAAAATATTACCCACTGTTGGCCTTACCTTATGAAAAGAAATAAAGTCACTTGATAGTTGCCTGTGTTTTTAATTGCCATTGTTTAGTGTGCCCTCGTTCGGAGTAACAGATAGGCTTCTGATGCGCAAAGCAGTGACGGCTTACTTGTGAACGTCCTTCAGTTTGTTTGTGTCAGTTTATGACATGAATAAACAGACAAATTGAGATCTCTGCCTCAGAAGCATGTATGAAGGACATGCAAGAAATGACAGGGACCAGTGGGTCAGGACAGAAGAAGTTAGGAAAAGGAAGCTACAGGGACTCAGATTCGAAGAAATTCGTTGTAGAAAAAGATGTATGGGTCTAACCCAGTGTTTTTGAGACAGGGTCTCCGTGTAGCCCCAGCCAGCCTGGAACTTGCTATGTAGTCCCGGCTGACCTTGATCTCACAGAATGCCACCTGTCTCTGCCTCCCAAGTGTTGGGATTAAAGGCATGTGCCACCACACCCAGCCCAAACACTTTTAAAAAACCAACATATTGTTTTTAATTTAACTGTATTTTGGAAAGAGCCCAGCTGGGATGAGCTTGCGGAAGATTAAACCTGGAGTCTGTGTAACCCAGAGAAGAACAGATGTTCTATGTGACACTCGATGTCTGTCACTTGGCCAGAGTCTTTGTGAACATAACACACCCAGTTGGCAAATGGAGCCCTCACATGTTTGTCCACCCTCAGGTCTATATGCTTAGCCACAAGGGAAGCTGTGGCATTTGGAAGCTGGTGGCTGTAGTCATAGATGGGACTTTGCTGCAGAAATCCTCCTCTGACAAGCAATTCTGATAGTCTGTGCCTGATACCCACAAGCCGTGTTGATCAGGTCCAGGAAACATGGGGCAGAAGGCGTCACAACAGCTGGCTCTCAAAGACAGTAACGAGGTCCTCGTCCCGTGTGAGGTGGTGAGTGGAGCCATAGTCCAAGCAGCTCAGAAACTGAAGGAGTACCTCGGGTTCGAGTACCCCCTGAGTAGACTCTGCCCTGCTAGAGGCACACTGAACGAGATCTTCCTCATCCACTTCATCACCTTCTGCCAGGAAAAGGGTATGGACGAATGGCTCACCACCACCAAGATGACCAAGCACCAATCCTTGCTGTTTGGGGCAGACTGGGTTTGGACCTTCTGGGGACCTGACAAGCAAATCCGGCTTCAGCTGGCAGTGCAAACTCTGCAGATGGCTTCTCTTCCCCCGAGGGACCCACAGCCTTGTGAGTCAAGGGGAGAAGAGTCATGGAAAAGAAGCAGGTTTGAAAAGTTGGAAGAGTTTTGTAGCTTGATAGGAGAGGACTGCTTAGGCCTGTTTCTCATCCTTGGTGTTCCAGGAGAGCCTAAAGCCATCAGGGGTGTTGTCCTGGACAGTGTTAGGAGTGGGTCAGTGAAGAGCCACCTGCCGGGATGTAAGGCTGTGGAACAGTTTGTCCTGGAGACAGAAGACTGTGTCTCCATCAAAGAACTGCTGGGAAACTGTCTGAGGAAGAAGGATGGGCTGAGGGAGATGGGCAAGGTTTATATTAGCATCCTCTAAACTCAGTGTGTTGCTGTGACTGGCCTGTCAGACAGAAGGGAAAGAAAATTCCCAGCGTGGGGTCAACCCTCACATTGATAGACAACGATCACCTAGGTCAAAGCATGTTGATGTCACAATTATTGAAAGAAACAAACCCTGATTGTATTTCAGGGAAACGTATAATTTAGTCTTTGCTTATTAGATAATAAAAATTGGGGGCGACAATAATAAAGTCGTGCATAAAATCCGATTTGCAAAACAAAAAGTGTCTTTGTTTAAAATAGTCTCATACAAGAAAATGAGAAAACGTTGCTGTTGGGGTGGGGGACGGGGTAGTTGGGGAGGGGGACGGGGTAGTTGGGGTCGGGGATGGGGTAGTTGGGGTGGAGATGGGGTAGTTGCAGTTTCACCTCCAGACTTAAACGAAACTTTATTCCCTGAGCCTTATCTGTTCTCGCTCCCCCGCAGCAGCTCTGCATAGAAAGGACTCTGGAGGAGTTTAACCATGGGACTCAGTTGAATGGTAGCTTTCCTCATGATTAAAAAGCAATCACCAGTAAAATGCTCCCTTGTTTTAATATCTGTTAGCATTAACAATAGGGATGTGTATTCACAATTTGTACTTAAAAGACTGTGGGATTCAACAGTATCAAGAGTAATCACCGTTATTGAACTCCTGCTGGGTCTCATGCTTTGCATATATTACTGCAATTTGCATATTTGACTAATAAGGGGTAGGTATTCATTTTAAAGAAATTCTGTGATTTCCAAGGTCATGAACTGTTTTATAACTTGTAACAAAAAGAGTAAAGTCTGTGTTAAGTTTTGGAGTGCAGAATACAGGAATAGGAAAGCCCTCACCTGATCTCAGCCGAGACTGCGTTTATTTAAACAAGCTCAGCCTTCCCTCCTCCTGGAATGGGAATGGGGAGAGTTAGAGCTCACAGGGGCCCCCTTGAGCATGAGGAAGCCAAAGCAGCTGCTGGGTCTACGTGTCTTATTTTCTGGAGCCCCACTGCTCAAGCAGGACAAGGCTTTCTTGAGCAACAGCCTGTTTCAAACAGTTTCCCTGAGTTCTCAGAGTGGCTGATTGGGTGTGATTGATGATAGGGTTAGCAGCAGTCTCAGAGGCAGATAAGGTCAGCAAAGTTTTAGAGGACTTCCGGTTTTCTACAGCCAGGGCATTCTATGAGTTTTTTTAATATTTATTTTTATTTTATGTGTATGAGTGTATTGCCTGCATGTATGTGAGTGCACCCATATTGTGCAATGCCACAGAGGTCAGAAGAGGGCTTCGGATTCCCCTGGAATTAAGTATGGTTCATAGCTGCCATGTAGGTGCTGGAAATTGAACCGGAGTCCTCTCCAAGAGCAGTCAGTGCTCTTAACACTCAGCCATCTCTCCAGTCCCTCTATCAGTTTCTGCTTACAAAGTTCCAACTCTTGCAGTTCCACAGAAGTTCAACTCCAAGCTCCTGCACCTGCTGTGACCATGGAACTGTTCCCCTGCCAAGAAGCCCACTGCTGGCTGGTGCTTGTCCTTGCCTTGGCCGCAGTCTGTGGCTGTTCCCAGTGTGCAGCTCTTAGAAAATGTGGGCCAGGCTGGCATGGCGGTGCAGGATTGTGAGTCTGAGGCCCAACGTAGGCTGCATGAAGTTCCAGGCCAGCAAGGGTTACACAGTGAAACTGTTCCCCAGAAAACATGGACCAAATCTCCATGCATCCAAGCTCTGAAAACATTTTCTGGTTCTAATAGGCTTCCTGTGGTCTTGGCTTTGTCTGTGTGTTGGTGTTAAAAGGAGTTTAAAGTTTGGAAATAAGAGTCAGAGCCAGACCTGCGGCAGGCAAGGAATGTGCTCTCTGGATTCAAGAAGCCCAGTGAAGGGCTGATAGCTGTTCCTCGAGGAGTGATTATCTGTGTGCTGAAGTGGGAGCAGCCTGGTCTTATATAGGAACTCTGCTGTGCACAGCTGCAAGTGTTATGCCGTGCCAGGGTCTGGTGTCCTTGAGGTATCTTCCAAAGATTATTTGCTCAGGCAGGAGGTTGAGTTATATATAGCTCTAAAGGAGACAGGTGGGCTCCACAAAGTCTCTCTCAGTCCAGGGAGTGACCAGTTGATAAGGCTTGAGTAAGGCCAGACTCAATTTAGGGCCAGTTAGCCACTGTAAGGAATTTATGTCTTTATGACTCCTCTAATGAAGCTTATGGCTCTCCTGAAATTCACATATTCGATCAGTTGGAATCTAGGGCTCTTGAGGCTAGATGAAATCATCATGGGCAAGACGGATCAGGCAGCACATGCTGCTAAGACATTTGTTAAGATCTGTGTGTCTGGAACTTGTCATAGGACAGAAGTGCTCACTGCAGGCCCCTGAAGTGGTACCAGGACCACTACCAGATCACAACCTAGAATGCTAAGAATGGGTCATGGAGGAGGGATGGGGGAAAACCTCTGAAATCCCAGCTCTCATTTCCACTTAAACTCTAAGCTGATTTTTCTCAGATTGTGTCTCTCCTTCCACTGACTCCTGCCTCCATCATATGCTGGGCCTCCAGCATCCAGTCACAGGGAAATCTGACACCCTCTCCTGACATCTGCAGGCACTGCATGACAAGGGTGTACTTACATGCATGCAGGCAATAATCTCATACATATAAAAATTTAAAAATCAGACTGGAGAGATGGCTCAGCCATTAAGAACACTGGTTGTTCTTGCATAAGACCCAAGTTCAATTCCCAGCACCCACACAGCAGCTAACAATTGTCCATAACTCCAGTTCCAAGCAATCCAGTGGTCTCTTCTGTCTTCCTCCGGCATTGCACAACACAGGTGCAAGCAATACACTCATACACATTAAAAAATATATATATATATATAAAATTTTAAAAGATCATAAGTAAAATATTTTTTAAAAGAAAATACAAGCTGGGTTGGAGAGAGGGCTCAATATGTTTTGCTTTGCAGAGGAATAGTTTGGTTCCCAGCACCCATGTGGGGGCCGTCTGTAACTCCGGCTCTAAGGGGGGGGTCCCAACACTGTGCACACTCTTCCATACATACACATACCACATACACATAATTAAAAATTAATTATTTTAAAGACAAAAATTGAATTTCTAACTTTAGAAAACTGCAAGTAAAGGGTTCATCTCTTGGAATAACCAACAGTTATTCCTACTGTAAACGTCTCTGGAAGGGTGGCATTCCCAACCGTTGTTGGCTTGTTCTCCATGACTCCTGCTTGCAGAAACATGTGCAGAGTCAGCTATTAGGATTGCGGTATGGTGAGAAAAGAGAGAGGTTTATTCTCAATTCTCATGGGGGCAGAATCAGGTGCCTTAAGGGTTTTGTTTTTGTTTTTGTTTTTCTGAGACAGGGTCTCCCTGTAGCCCCAGCTGTCCTGGAACTCACTATGTAGACCAGGCTGGCCTTGAACTCACAGAGATCCACCTGCCTCTGCCTCCTGAGTGCTGGGATTAAAGGTGTACGCCACCACGCCCTGCACCTTAAGGTTTTAATCTGCTATCTCTAAAATGGGAATGACTTCAACTAACTCAAGAGACAAAATTTGTGAAATGTATACTAAAATGTAAGTTTTACTGCTGGGCATGGTGGCATATGCCTATAATCCCAGCTTGAGGCAAGTTCAAGGCCAGCCTGGGGACACAGTGAGACTGTCTCAAAATAAAACAAAACCAATAATTAAATAAAACAGAACCGTACCAAAATGTCAAAGAACTTAGTACAGATTGTAAGCAGTCATGTTAGAAACTGCTGGAAGCTAGAAATCAAAGGCTCTGCATTTTCCTTCTATGAAAATAAATGTGAAGCTTTTGCTAATTTTAAAAGTATTGCATCTTTAATTTTTTATATTTTATTTATTTTTTGTGTATGATGAGTGTATTGCCTGCATGTATATAAGGTCACCGATGTCTCATAATGCCCGAGGAGGTCAGAAGAGGGTGCTGGATCCCCTGGAACTGGAGTCACAGATGGTTGTTAGCCACCATGTGGGCGCTGGGAACTGAACTGGGGTCCTGTGCATGAACGGCCAGTGCTCTTAACCACTGACCAATACTTCAGCCCCGAATCTTTTTTCTTTTTCTTTTTTTTTTTTTTTTTTTTTTTTTTTTTTTTTGGTCTTTTTGTGATAGGGTCTCCCTATAGCCCCAGCTGGCCTGGAATTTGCTATGTAGACCAGGCTGGAGAAAAAAACCCAGCCCGTGGTACTTTATTCTAGTCCTAGGAGACGAACACAACAGCTTCTGCCCCAGAACAGTAATGGGATGGTGAGACCAGAAACGATGAGCTGGAGATTACTGCAAATACCCACCTCGTGGGTGAACTCCCTTGCACCCTGATTGTAGTGGCAGGGATACTGTGACAGGGCTGTACACGCCTGCCTTAATGTCGTGTGCTTACGAGCCGTGCTTGCTCTCAGTTGCCTGTGCTCTTAGTTTTGAATTGTGCTTTACAAATGGTGGACGAGTTAATAATATAGGGTATAAGATGGTTCACTGAGGTCCATTGCTTCCTGGGCTCAGGAATGCTGACGTTCTGTAATTCTCTAGGAGCAAGTTGACCAGGTCAATGCGTTGTTACTGGCTGCGCACTCGCAGTGCTCACTGGCCAGCACTGACACCTGACCATAGTAACTTAAGACCACACGTTGTAGAGAGGATGAAGTCAAAGTGTAAATGCAAATAGTGTGGCTGCGGAGGGGACGGCGCCATGCTGCCTGCTCCCTTGGAGACGCCATCATTTAAGCGCAGGACCAGATGCAATGGCATGGCGGGTACAGGAGTTTGCTGCCAAGCTTGAAGACCCAAGTTTGATCCAGAGGAACCACATGGTGGAAGAAGAGAACCAAAGCCACAGTTGTCCTCTGACCTCCACATGCACACTCTAGCCCGAGACCCGCCCCCCAGCAAATGAGTAAATAGAAAAAAAAAAAAAAAAAAGGTGTAGGGCTGGGTGTGAGGGCTGAGGGTCCACGCATATGTCAGGGCACTTGGGAGGCTGAGGTAGAGAGATTGCTGAGGCTATCTCAAGAAGGGGGGAGATGGGGGAGGAGGGAGGAAGAAGCGTGGCAAAGCGGCCGCGGTGTAGACCGCGCCGTGGGCGAGCCTGACGTCGGGGACAGCTGAGATCCCGCCCCCAGGACTCCAGCCTTCGGCTCGCCATACTTCCGCCATTCTTCTGTTCTGAGCTGGAACTCTTCCGGCACTGTTTCCGTCCTCACACGCGCTTCCGGTCTCCGCCCCGGGGCGGGGCGTCCTCAGCTCCGCCAGCTGCGCGCTTGTCCGTCCCAGCGGCTCTGCGTTCTCAGCTGCGGTCCTCGCGCCATGGCGGCCGCCGCGCTGCAGCCGAGGCGGGCGCTGCGTCCCGGAGGCCTGCGCGCCTTATCGGCCGCGACCGCCGCCGCCTGGGGAGCCAGCCCAAGTGAGTGTCGCCCGCCGCGGGTCGGGCCTGGGGGCGCGATGGGGCGTCCGGGCCGCGCCGCTTCCGCCTGTCCTCAGGTGACGGTCCGGCCGCGCCGCTTCCGCCTGTCCTCAGGTGACGGTCCGGCCGCGCCGCTTCCGCCTGTCCTCAGGTGACGGTCCGGCCGCGCCGCTTCCGCCTGTCCTCAGGTGACGGTCCGGCCGCGCCGCTTCCGCCTGTCCTCAGGTGACGGTCCGGCCGCGCCGCTTCCGCCTGTCCTCAGGTGACGGTCCGGCCGCGCCGCTTCCGCCTGTCCTCAGGTGACGGTCCGGCCGCGCCGCTTCCGCCTGTCCTCAGGTGACGGTCCGGCCGCGCCGCTTCCGCCTGTCCTCAGGTGACGGTCCGGGCCGCGCCGCTTCCGCCTGTCCTCAGGTGACGGTCCGGCCGCGCCGCTTCCGCCTGTCCTCCAGGTGCAGGTCTGTTCCGTCTCCAGGCTGCTCCCTCTTGCAGGCCTTGGGCTGTGACGTCGCGCTGCGGCCCTCCCCGTCCCCGTCCCCCTCCTACTCGGGCTCACTGGGCAGACGCGGCCTCCCACCCCCTGAAAACCCACGTCTCCGGTTCTCCGTTGCCCTGGGGTAACTTAGAAGCCCCTCGTATGTCATTACAAGTACCACATGGCGGCTGCGCAGCCTCACCCTGCGTTTTCAGGTTCTCTCTCTCTCAGCACGTGGCGCCTGCCTGGTCCAGAGCCAGTGACGTCCGCCGTCACTGACACCGTGACACCTGAGAGGACCCAAGGAAAGCCACGCTAATGCCGCCATGCTTAGGGTGCTGCAGACAGTTGTTGAGAGTGATGTGCTGCCGAAGGAGGGGCCAGGACACCCCTCAGGACCTGGGTGCAGAGCTGTGCAGAAAGGGGGGGCCAGGGCCGGCCCAAGGAAGTGCAAGAACAGGGTCAGGTGTGATGGGGACAGCCCTGAGGAAGGGGGATGGTGATCAGGTCGGAGAGTTCCGTACGCCTGCCCTGGAGGCTTTGTTGGACTTTGTTGCAGGTTGGGGATGACTGCAGAAGGATTAAAGAAGTGCAATGTGAGAGACGTGCTGGGAAGGGCTGAAACATTCCAGTGAGATGGGCTAGCCTAGAGGTGGTAGTGCACAAGGTGGTGCTTGCGTGGACTTAGGGTGTATTTTGCGTGTTGTTTTGGGGGGGCAAGGTCTCCCTGTGTAGCCCAGGCTGGCCTGGAACTCACAGATCCATCCACCTGCCCCTGCCTCCTGAGTGCCTGGCTTAGGGTACATTCTGAAGGTAAGCTGAGAGGGTTTATTGATGGATTTGATGGGGCCTGAGGCCTGTCCAGTCTTCCCTGAGCCATCGGATGAGTGTCAGCACCAGCTCTAGGCATTGGACGACTGGGAGCAGGAGGTCAGGTTCTCTGCAAGCCTGCATTAGCGCAAAGCCCAGCAGACAGCGCCAGCCTCTTCTCCCAGCTCTCTGTTCCTCTGAAACCAGCATGTAGAACATAGATTTGCTTGCTTTGCTTTCCCAGGTTACCTGCCTGTCTGTATACCTACCCACCTGCCTACCTGTCTATGTCCCTACCCACCTGCCTACCTGTCTATGTCTCTACCCACCTACCTATCTGTCTATGTACCTATGTATCCACCTATGCACATACCTGTCTGGAGCTCTCTGCTAGCCCATGGCCCCTTGACACTGCTCTCTGTTCACTTTTCCTCTCTTTCTTCCACAGTAGCTGCCTTACTGATGTAGATGTGTAGTGCTGGTATAGACGTGTAGTGCTGGTGTAGACATGTAGTGCTGGTGTAGACGTGTAGTGCTGGTGTAGACGTGTAGTGCTGTCTATGTCCCTACCCACCTGCCTACCTGTCTATGTCTCTACCCACCTACCTATCTGTCTATGTACCTATGTATCCACCTATGCACATACCTGTCTGGAGCTCTCTGCTAGCCCATGGCCCCTTGACACTGCTCTCTGTTCACTTTTCCTCTCTTTCTTCCACAGTAGCTGCCTTACTGATGTAGATGTGTAGTGCTGGTGTAGACGTGTAGTGCTGGTGTAGACGTGTAGTGCTGGTGTAGACGTGTAGTGCTTGGTGCTAACGTGTAGTGCTTGGTGCTATAGTGAAAACAGATGAAGACTTTGAAGACTTAGAAACAGTTCTGAGGTTAAGGAAGTTGCCATTAGATTCTTTAAAGCATTTTTCACTATAAAAGCCCCTGTCCCCTGGTAAGATGACTTACCAAGTTTTCAATAAGAAACATATACACAGTTGGGAAGAATACAAGGTCAGATGAAGGACATTTGTATACTGTAGACTGTATGCAGATGGCAGGTGCTGAGCGTTCTTCCTGGCTCCACGGTAGCATGGGTCTGCTTCACTGCCTTGTTAGGGTGTGAAGGACTTAGTTTGATGCTGCAGTTTTCCCAGTCTACATCAATGAAGAGAGGGTGATGTTTCAGTTCTTGGTGGACTCAGTTTAAATAGAAGCGCGGTTAACCATGAAAGGCTATAAAGTGTCCCATCACATCCAGATAACAAAGATTAAGAATTATTGCTGTGGGGGCTGGAGAGAGGACTCAGCTGCTAAGAGCACTGGCTGCTCTTGGAGAGGGCCCGGGTTCAAATCTCAGCACCTACATAACAGCTAGCAACCATCCTTAACTCCAGTTCCAGAGTATCCGATGCCCTCTTCTGGCCTCCTTGGGCATTGCAGGACACCAGTGTAGTCACATACATGCAGGCCCGCTTCTAGCTACCAGTGGTTGAAAAGGTTTGCGCTGAGCTCCGAGCGTCATCAGGAAACTTTTACCTCTTCTGGCCTCCTTGGGCATTGCACGACACCAGTGTAGTCACATACATGCAGGCCCGCTTCTAGCTACCAGTGGTTGAAAAGGCTTGCACTGCGCTCCGAGCTCATCAGGAAACGTTTACCTCAGGCCAAGCGGCAGCTCTCCAGAATACTTTGCAGACTTGGAGCTTCATCGTTGAAGGGAGAATTCCTCTCAGATAGTCAAACAAGCAAATGTCAGTGCCTTCTGGTCTCCCACAGGGCGGCGGACTGTGCCCAGCAAGAGCTTAGGTGTCAAGTCGGCTGGGGTTCCTAGAATTCTCCCATCATCCGTGGGGGCTACATCTCCTCACTCCAGAGTTTGCGCTGAGCTCCGAGCGTCATCAGGAAACTTTTACCTTAGGCCAAGCGGCAGCTCTCCAGAGTACTTGGCAGACTTGGAGCTTCTTCGTTGAAGGGAGAATTCCTCTCAGATAGTCAGACAAGCAAATGTCAGTGCCTTCTGGTCTCCCACAGGGCGGTGGACTGTGCCCAGCAAGAGCTTAGGTGTCAAGTCGGCTGGAGTTCCTAGAATTCTCCCATCATCCGTGGGGGCTACATCTCCTCACTCCAGAGTTCAGTATGAAGCTCCTGCCTTCACCTGATCTGGAGTCCTGCTGCATGAAAACTTCTAACAGTCCATAGAGTTTTCAAGAACAAAACTGTATGATTAATACCATATAGTTTAGCTGAGAGGTAAATGTCTATCTTAAAAGCTATTTTCTAAAATCCAAAGAATGAAATATTACAAGTTGTAAAAATATGGAATGTCTGCCGGGTGTGGTGGCACGCACCTTTACCTCCAAAGAGGCAGGCAGGTCTCTGTTCGAGGCCAGCCTGGTCTACACAGCGAGTCCAGGCTGGATGGGGCTACAGGGAGACCCTGCCCCAAGAAGACCAAAAGAAATATGGAGTGTGCATCGTCCTTGTGCAGGGGCCATGCTGATCTTTGCCTTGATCCAGTTCTGGTGTGTTCGCCGCTGAAGCATTCTCTGGTCTCCTTAATCATTTTCCCACCTGCCTGTTTCCATGGCTACCTCCTGCTCACCCCCCAGGTCTTAGCTTAAAGTTTGCATCCCCTAGGAGAACCTGGAGGCTGGCAACACACCCTGTCAGGACTGTAGCGTGTCACGTCTGAGAAAAGGAGATCAAGAGGACAAATTCACCTTTGCCTGGGTGCTTTGTTCTGTCTAACCCTGTGCTGATCCCCCTCAACCCCTCATCCCCAAGTGGGTGGGTTGAGAGAGGATCTTCTCCACTGTGTCCCAACTGCCACACTGGTCTCCTAGAAATCCCTTCATAGACAACGCCCAGAAATGATGCTTTATCAGCCACCTGCGTGTCCCTTAATCCCCTCAGGCAGAGCCTGAGATGAGCAGTCATGGTAACTGACTAGGTTCAGATCCCTGCTGTGTCCTGCAAAATGCAGTCTGTTCTCTTGAGAGCAGGAGTGATGTCTGTGTTGGTGCTGCTTGGTTTGATCCACAGCATCACTTCGTAGTTGAATGAACATTTTGCGAGGAATAGAAATATTTCAGAAGAAA